GGGAGCAGTTGGGGGTTCAGTGCCTTGCTCAAGGGTCTCACCTCAGTTGTGGTATTAATGGTGGAATAGAGCGCTGTACAACAACCCTCTTACCTACAATCCCTGCCGGGTACCAAGACTCGAACCCGTGACCTTTGAGTTACAATTCTGACTCTCTAACCATTAGGCCATGACTGCCACCTACTTGTTCTCCAGTAGGAGAGAACAAGTCAGAATGTGAGTTCATGTAAGGATGAGAGGCTATTCAATGTGGAAGGGACGTGGTGAAGTGAAAAACTTACCTTAGAAAAAAAAAACTTTCACCGATATCTGTGGACTGGAGAAGCGCATGTACTTCAAATTTCACACGATCAAAGAGGACGCTAATACGCATGTGCAAAGCAAATATCACAGATCAGACTTGTTGCACACGCAAGTTATTTAAGGTGTTTCAAATGTACCCCTGTACCAACTGTACTACACTGTTTTTCACTTTACTAGACGTTAATTGATGGACTGGAGTTGTGTGGATTATTGTGATGTTTTTATCACCTGTTGGAGGCTCATTCTGATGGCACCCATTCACTGCACACACAGGATCTACTGGCGAGCAAGTTATGTAATGCTGACTTCCAAATCTGTTCCGATGAAGAAACAAAATCATCAACATCTTGGATGGCACGAAGATAAGGAAATTTTAATCAAATTTTCATTTTCTGGTTAACTATTCCTTTAACAAATTGAAATTGTACATAGGTGATTGCTCCTTTGTAGGCTACAATGTTTTGCACTGTTGTTCATATGCTATATTGCCCATATTCCTTTCTAAGGTTTACAGCAATAGTACTCTCTACAGAAATGTGCTTTATGATTTATATATAAATATATTATTTATATATTGTACATTTTTATTATTTGATTACATATTATTTAGTTAGTTTATATAGTAATCTGTACTGCTTGATTACAGCTCTTCCCTTTCATGAAAAACATACATTCAGTGAAGCAGCCAGTGTTTAAACTTATGACTGCTTGCGTACCTCCGAAGACATGCGAATAGTACATCATTTTTTTACATTTTTATTATTTGATTACATATTATTTAGTTAGTTTATATAGTAATCTGTACTGCTTGATTACAGCTCTTCCCTTTCATGAAAAACATACATTCAGTGAAGCAGCCAATGTTTAAACTTATGACTGCTTGCGTACCTCCGAAGACATGCGAATAGTACATCATTTTTTAAAGTACATACACTTCTGGGATTGATTGCAGTGACAAGATATTTTATGTGAATGTCCAACAGATGGCGTTGAAGCTTTCGAAAATGTGTGCTCCTTAAATGTGTCCCCCGAAACATAAACGATTCAATTAATCGATAAGTGGTTCCCATGAGCTCTGAGGACAAATACTTTATAAACATGTAAGCAAATTGAAGATGCATTTTTCTTTTCTGTAGAGTATGAGTACACACACAGTGGAAAATATCGTGAGATCACTGGTGAACTTACATCGCCCTGTATCCTGACTTTCTGCTGGATTGTGCGTTGTCCTGTTTTTAGCTTAGCACAATTAATGTTCTGTTATTTTTTCCCCGACATAGCTTTCGATCAACAAACCGCTGATCGGACAGTGATGGATTCCCTGAACTTTGAGTCCGAGATGGAGGCGGATGGACAGGGCAGTTATTCACTGTTTCCAGCGCTGGACAGTATGAGCAGCCTGACTGGAGCCGCTGAGAGTCTGGACTCGTGAGTTTATGAATAATCCCCTTCATTTAGGCACAGGCGCCAGAAAAGCTGTTATTACTGCATGGAAATACCCAACGGAAAGACCCTTGTTGTTTTTTTAGGACATGCTACCATGAAATGGATTGAAGTCCCATAAAAAAGTACTGTGGTGAAATGATGGTAGCAGACATAAAAAATAAAAAAATACGTATGTAGTGCCACTGTATTATGTGTATATGGTTTTACTATGGTATCATTCCCAAAACACAATAATAGTACTTTTTTTGTAAGTGGTAAGTTACCTCAGGCTGCCGTGTAAATACCGTGTCACATAAATGTAGAAATCATTCAGTGCCACGATTATATCACCGTACAATTGCATTTGAGTGGATATAATATTACTCATCAATATTTACTGTGGTTTTAGGACTGTATCTCAACAAAAATAGTTAGCTTCCACCCCATACATCACATACAGGGTAAAAGCTGTCTCCCTTGTGAAAAAGAGCAAATTACTCTTTAGCACACTTTTAAGAATAATACTTTTTTCAGAAATAATATACTTTAAAATAATATAAAACTGAACAAACGGAAACTATTGTTTTCAAATATTTCGTTTTTTGCCTTTTTTCAAATTGCATGTCATTTGCAATTAAATGAAAATATGTAGTTTAAATGTAAATGCTGTTAGTAACCTAAAATATACTTCACTGCCATTTCTATTGAACCTTGTATGTCATGTTTTTAAATATTTAGCATTTACACATTTGTAATGAATTTGTAAAATTTAGTACATGTAAAATATAATGTCAATAAAATACTACAACTAAAATAATATTCAATACATTATAATCAGTAATTGGCATGTGCTGTAGTATGTCAGCACATCAAAATCAGTGTAATTCTTTAAAGCATTATTATTAAAATAGTTATTAAATGTGATAATTCACACAAAAATGTAAACTCTGTCATCATACTCACCCTCAAGTTGTTCCGAACCTGTATTAGTTTCTTTCTTTATAAATAATATTTTTTTCACATACCTACATGATTTGAAGTACACTAATTTACAAGTGCACATTCAATATAATTAAATGCACTTATTTTTTCTTTTTTTTCTTACAAGTGTTGTGAGTCTCACTGGGTTTATTTGGTATGAATTAGTGTCATTTTATTACTATTGAAGTACTATAAATAATAGTTAAACTGATAACTGAGATTACTCAGTAATGCAGTAGCAATGTTGTCATGTATGTGATACAGTATGGGATATATGTTGTCATATACTGCTGCTCTTTTATCAGTGAAACCCCCAGTGAGGTTGCAGATAAACCAAATCTCACTTGGCTCGATGCTGCTCAGGTGAGTATCTCCCTTAAAATAATGCTGTTGTTATATCGCATACATTTCTTGTGATCAAATCAATGACTTTTCTGATTGTTTAAGATTGCTCTTGAAGAAGCTGGGCGGCCCATGCACATCAAGGAGATCAAGCAGCGGATCATTGATCGTGGACTGGTGCAGTCAAAGTAAAGATATCATTTTAAAACAATTCCATTTTCCTTCAGTGTATATCTTCAAAATTACAACGCCATGCACAAATGACAAGATAATCACTGTTCCTGTAATTATTTCGCAGTGCAAAGTCAAGCCTCGGGGCAGTCATGTATCGAGAGGTGAGACTCGAAGTCTGGCCCAGTTTTATTTATGAAACTGTCATACCGTTACCTGTCAGTCATGTACCATATTTTACTTTATATGTTTTCCATTCAGTACCAGCAATGTGTTTAATTTAAGTGCATGATTTCATTTGTATTTGTCTTTCATATTTACCTTCATAAAGTTTTAGAATGACTAATATAGGAAAAAGGGGTAAAGTCAGAGCAGTCTGTCGCTAAGAGAGTCTACATGAGAAGTAGCCTGCGGCATTTGCTTTAGTTTTACGGTGTGTTACAGACACAGAAAGGAAGCAGATGCTTCAAGAGGATTGAAAGCAGAAATGGAGTTTTTGCCCTGTTGGTAAGTCGATAAGCACATGTCAGTTAGTTGTCAGTGTTTAGAAACAGTTTGTATTAGAAAAAGCGCCACATTGTGTTGTTGTTGTTTATTTTTTGCTGCTTTTTAGAAAACTTTCCAATCATCATTTTCTTTTTCTTTTTCACAACGACAAACATCATGATATCAATTTATATTTTATGTTGTCAACTTTGGTCAACACATGGTGAAGTGTGTGGTTTGCCAGTTGTTAAACATTTATTTCCATGAAAGAAATTTCGGCTCACACTCCAATGGTTAAACCAACGGTTGACACATTGGACCATAAAAACAAACAGAGCTGCCATGTTTATACTCCTCATGAACAACTCCTGACATTTATAATGGCCTTACTTTGAACATCATACTCGAATGACAAACTTCACTTTTAATTATTGCATGGTCTGTCTGAATACTTGATTCTGATTGGCTAGCAGGTATGCAGTAAAACCGTTTAAAGGGGTCATATGACGTTGCTAAAAATAACATTATTTTGAGTATTTGGTGTAATGCAATGTGTTTATGCGGTTTAAGGTTCAAAAAACATTATTTTCCATATAATGTACATTATTGTTTCTCCTTTTCGCCTTTCTGAAACGCGTCGATGTTTACAAAGCTCATCATTCTAAAACAGTGAGGTGTGCTCTGATTGGCCAGCTATCCAGTGCGTTGTGATTGGCTGAATGCCTCAAGCGTGTGACGGAAATGCGCCCCTTAACATACTGTGATGCCGTCTCCCAGCAGGACGAGACAAAACCATTAAAACCCATTACAGATGAGGCATTTGTTGCATCCAGTGGGGACATAATTACTGATTATAATGACTTCAGGGGCGGTCACACTGCACTTTTCGTTCCATTGACTTCATTCATACACATGCGAATGCGTCAGACCGGAAACGCAAGCTCATGCAAAAAATTTCACATTTCGCTGCGTTCCAAAGTTCAAGTTTGGTGAACTCTGACCTGCGAATTCGCATCACGTGAAGACGTGTGACCAGTAGAAGATCGGAACGTCACTGCGTGACCTCTCTGTACAGAAAATCAAAAATGGAGGAAGCCTAATTTTAACCTTAGTGCAGCGTCCTATTTTATATAATACATCTTTAAAAGATTATAAAAATCAAATAAAAAAAGAAGCTGCATGGTTCGCGGTGTCAATGGAAACAGGAACAGATGGTACATTTGAACGCGGAAACATTTTTATAATTTTTTATTGCTTAGTGTGTGTCTGTGTGTATATAAATTATATATATATATATATATATATATGTATATATATTTGTCACCTGCATGATGGTTCTATCACCCCCAACTTCAGCATTTGTTGTATTTTCTCCTCAATAGCTCGCCGACGAGCCTCAGGGACGAGGTAGGGCCGTTGCCTGACGACGACCCCTGGCGGCGTCCGGATGTCGT